ATCATCAGGGGTTATAGAAGAAGTCTAATAAGATAGAGGGCCTGGGAATGATTCTGTTATGGCTTGATGATCTTAAAAGAAGAATGGAAAGGGAGAGGAAGAGTAATATATTGGGGAGGGAGGGAAGGGAAGCAGAAGCTAGTGAAAATTATCTCATGTAATTGGGGTGTTGGTATATACAAAAAAGGAGGAAGGAGCGGGTGGAGCTGTTACCATTCCTTCCTCCTTTTTTGTATATACCAACACTCCAATGCTACCACTTGAACCTCACTCTTATGTGAACTGGTCAAAAGAGGGAAGAGTGCACAGAGTGGGTACAGAGTATATTTCACTCTACAGGGAAATAAGGAAAAGACAGAAGTGAGAATTAGAGGGAGGGTGGATTAAGGGGGAGCTAAGTGCTTCAGTGGATAGAGCATCAAGCCTGGCAGAGTCAGGAAGATCTGAGTTCAAATCCAGCCTCAGACACTATCTGTGCAACCCTGGACAAAGTCACTTAACCCCTATTTGCCTCCATTCCTCATCTGTAAAAATGGGTACACACTGGAGAAAGAAATGGCAAACCACTCCCATGGACAAGTGCATGGGTTCATAAAGAGTCAGACACTACTGAATAACTGAACAACAGCAAAATTAAGGGTGGGATTTTTGCTAGGCAAAACAGATTCTACAGATATGCAAAATTGCTTATAGTTCTTCTTGAACTGACGAAGAACTGGAATCTGAGGTAGTCCCCATCTGGGCGTACTGAGGATTGGCTGAACAAGTTATGGCATATAAGTACAATGGAATACTATTGCACTCTAAGAAATGATGAAGAGAAAGGTTTCAGAGAAACCTGAGAAAACTTATATGAACTGATGCAAAGTGAAGTGAGCAGAACCAGGAGAACAATGTATATGATGACAAAAATATTTTAAAGGCAACTTTGAAAGACTTAGGAGCTCTGATCAGTATAATGACCAGCTATGAATCCAGAGATTTCATAATGAAACATACTGCCTACCTCTTGATGGAGTAGTGAAGGACTCATAGTGCAAAAAGAGATACACACATATGTGTATGTGTGTGTGTACACTCACATATGTACATGTGTATAGATACACATATGAATGTTTATATGTATCTTATTCTGTACTCTGAGTCACATCTATGTTTCATATATATGAGCAGTCATATGTATACACACATATGTACATACAACATACACATATATGTTTCATTATGGTACTTTGTATGAGATTATTCATGGTCTGGTACAGTATTCCATTGCATAGCTTCATCTTGTGCCATTGTCTTATCAGGGATGTATCTTCAAGATACTGGCACTTAAATCCTTTAGCATGATGTACACTGCTATCATGTAGTCAGATGGAAATCTCAAACTTTTCAACTGTATTACCAGTTGCTTATTGCCCAGCTTCCCATATATATGTACATACTGTACCCGTGTGTCACATGTAGTAGCTTCATTCCTTTGTTAAGTTTCACCTTAGCGTCTGTGTCTTTTGGCTTTCAGGACAAAGCTTCTACATCCTAGTCTTCTTTGGCTGTTGCTAGGTGCTAAATGTACATTTGTCTACTTTTGCTTACTCATTACTGGCAAGCAGCATGTAACTTGCACTTGTCAAAGTATGAATCAAAGGATTGTTGACAGTCTGAATTTGGAACTCTACATCATACAGTCTTTAAACTTCTTAATAACATCCCACTCCAAAGCTAGTGAACTTGTGTATTGGGTAAAGGTCTCACTGTCATTTTGTCCTTGGCTGGCAAATGCAGTGGATTTCTGGTGATCATCCCTCTTTTGGAATAGGACTCATACTATGCACTTTAAGTCTGGCATCTTGATTCAGGACATAAGGCTTACTTGGATCTATAGAAGCCAACTGTGATGCATGTTCAAAGCAGTTGATCAAATTTTAGAAAGCTTATTTACTTCTCTCTATTGATTTTTGGGTGGCTGTGAGAATTTTAAGACAAATTGACCTGATTTGCCTTTCTACTTCTAGTTCTTTTCAATTATGTAAGCACAAGTGAGGTAATTCAGTGGTTTAGTTATAGAAACATAGGTCTTAACATTTGTGACAATAACTGTTGAATTCTGGAAAAATCCTTAAATCTTGAGACTTCAGTGGATTTGGCTAAGTCAGGATCACCTGCATCTTCTCTGGATCAGTGCTCACACCTTGTTAACTCAGTTACCTACATGTTTGAGAGAGTCTCTACAAACCTTGCAGTTGTCAAATGAAAACTCCTGTAATTTCCTCTTGTTAATCCAGAACATTCATCAGTCTCTCCTCATGTTCTTCCATGGTCTTCTCAAATACAATGAAGTCATCAAGGTATGCCAGTTCATGTTTCCATCTTCTTTCTTCATCAGTATTTTGAAAGAGGCAGGAGCCCCTGATCGTCTTGGACTATATGCTCAAACTAGTTAAATCCATTTAGGAAGATGAAAACAATCTTATCTTTCTCTACCATAGAAATATGGTAGTAATGATTGTATAATTCCATTGCTGAGGATTACTAGCAGTCTAACAGTGTCCAAGGTATCTTGAATTCTTGGCATGGTATCTTGGTACACTTTAATTCTTTTGTTCAAAGACTTATAGTCTTCACTCATGTATTTTTCTATTTTACTTCTGACCCAGAATACATATGATGTATATGGACTTTGGGACTTAGTGTTGATGCTTTTGATCAATAGATCTCAGATGGTTTCAGAGGTCATTCATCACAGATAAAGACATCTTCCTAGATTTTCCTAGAATAATTGGGAGTTAGCTTGATCCTTTGTGTTGTTCCTCGGACAAGTCCAACCAATGTAGTGAGAACATGCCTGTCCTTTTGCTGAACTTCTGCCATAACTGATCTTTTCCGTCTTCCCAGGGTCCACTTTTGCATTTGAAGAGCATTTGCTCTTGTAATGTTCACTGTCACCATTGCCTCTATACTCTTGTAGACTTCTGCACAGGCTACATGTATAGTCAAAGTGTTGGTTCCTGGCTTATTAGCAATATCTTGAACAAATTGAAATTGGTTCCATTTATTGCTGATATTCCATTGATAGATGATGAGTCTAAATATACCAGCACCATGGTGTTCACCATCCTATTTATGCCAAAAATTTCCTTGGAAAATTTCAAGCCTACATTGATATAACCTAGACATGGTAGTCACTCATTGTTCTATGTACAAGCTTTTTCAGGGACTATAGATGTCTGATTCTCAAATGCCCCATGTTATGACTGGAATATGATGGTCACTTATGCTGTACTGTCCAGGAAAGAAGTACACTCCTCTTCTTCACTGTTAACTTTCTATAGAGTCCTCTAAATTCAGGTGAAATGGACCCATAAGGAATTGATGAAGTCATGCTTACTGTTTCAGGGGTCTCAAGTGACTCCTTTCCCTCTCCCCATCTTTTTTATGAGTGCTCATCTTGTACCATCAAAGCTACATTCTCCTTATGAATTAACCCAATCTGCCTTTTTTTTAAAAACAAAACAAAACAAAACAGAATTTAGTTCTCGTTTTCTGCTTGTCTCCTGATAGTGTTTGTGCATCATGCTGTTGTGGTCCCCTTTCCATTGGTCCATTTTCTTTCTGAGGTTTGTCCAGGGGCCCCCTCCTTCAGAGTTTTCCTTTTGGAGTGTATTTATTCCTCACTTGCTTTTTCTTCCTGGGATCAGGGTGTTTAGATGTTCTAGTTCCTATTTTGTTAATCTGGGTATTTTATGTTTTCATGCATATCAATCCATCTCTTCCTTTCATTATTTTCTCTTTGGCTTGTGAACTTTGGAGTTTTGTCTTAGGTGGGTGAATTAAAATGTGACTCTTCTCTCCTGTTGTCCTGTGGAATCTGGCTATGTGTATTTTGCTCTTTGGTTCTAATTCTTCCAGGCAATTTTTTAATGATCTCCTGAAGATTATATAGTGTTCTAACTTTCTATTTCATAATCCTTTTCTGAGAGGCTGGTGATTCTTATGGCATCAAAGAAGAAAGCCTTGGAAGGAGAAGAATTAGCAGATAGGAACTGAGCTGTGGAAAGGTGCATGCCCATTGAACCTAGTTACATGATCTGATTAGGAGATGCTATGCTTATGGGAGAGCAGTGCAAGAACAGAGACAGAGACACAGAGAGAGAGAGCGAGAGCCAGAGCCAGAGAGATAGATTCAGGGATGCAAGAGACCTCAAAGGACATCGAGTCTAATTCTCATATATAGTTGGAGAACATGAGTTTCAGGCCAGTTAAATCACTTGCTCAAGCTTACACAGGTAGTAAGTATTGGAGGCAGGTTTTAAACCAAAGTCCTTTGGCTACTAATGTGGTATCTGTTGTCCGCATGGATACTACAGCTCATCTTCTGAAGCATTTCTTCTACTCTTTTAAGAAACACTTCGTTTATTCTGAGAAGCTCAGTATTCCTTCACCCTTAACAGCTTTTTCTTTATAAAGAAGACCAACTTGCATTTTGTACCCATAATTGTTTATTTCTCAGGAATGTACAAGCATTATACTATAGAATAAAGAATATTAGATTTGGGACTGAATGTAAATAGATGTACTCAGCATTTATCTGAGAAGACTTTTTAAATGAATCTATCTTTCAAACACTTCGTGTTTCATAATTTCTCTTATCACAAGCTATCTTCTCACATCTTACCTTTTTGTTGCACCTTGTTCACCTTTTCAATATAATACATATTCATAGTGTACAAATGTCATACAGATAATATAGATTCTTATTCCACTTCTTCTTCCTCTAAATATACTCCTAGACCTACGTGTGTTCTAAAGCATATATCAGTAGTTGTTTCTTCTCCATCTTGTTTAACTCCTCCCTGGCCCTCCCATTAATCAAAGTAGAAAAGAAGGAGCAAAGTAATCTCATTCCTAACTTCCTGGATTTTTGTTAATTTTTGCTGCACCAGGACAGCAGCAGGTGAATGTAGGATCATGTAATGTTTATTTTCTTCTTTGTTCCCCAACAGGAGTATATGCGCATCATGGGACTTAGCAATTGGCTGCATTGGAGTGCATGGTTCTTCATGTACATATCTTTCTTCATTATTGTTATCTCACTTATGATCTTACTCTTCTCTCTGAAGGCAAGTGTCTTGTTTTCTCTAGTATATTAGAATACCCCTTTGAGAAAAGCTTGATGTATAGACCATAGTATAGGAACCCTGAGACTGATCTATGGTAATTGCTAAATCTCTTAGGAAGCAATAACTTAATAATTACAAAAGTAAATTTAAGGTTTATGAAGCATTTTATGTAATTCTGTCATTTGATTCAACAACTTTTTGAGATATGTAGTACAGGTATTATTACAGATAGTGAAATTGGCATGATGAATTTCAACCTATGGATTGGGAATGGAGTTGGAATTCCTATCTATGCCTTCTTTTTTGACTTGTCATGTGCTTTTACTAGCACAACAAGTTGTCTCTCATTTAAGTTATTAGGCTAATGAAATAGAGCATTTTTCCTTCTGATATACATTTACTTTTCTTCTTATAGAATTATAGGTCATAGAGAGTGATTACTTTACTAATACTAAAATGTTAATATATGAGCATATAAAATATATATTTAATAATGCTAAAACGTTAAGAGTATATATGTGTATATATATATAGACATACATGTATGGAAATTGATCTAGCAACAGAGTTCAGTAAGAAAATATATAATAATCATTAGCTTCGCAGAGAAATGATGAAACAAAAACTTACTGCAATATTTCATGTTACCATACAAGAGAATTATACAAGTATTAGAACTAGAGGACAAAGTATAAATCAGTGGAATTCACAGGATGGTAGCAAAAGGGAACCCCGAAATGTAGTCATCAAGAACCTAGAAATGTAATTACCAAGCTCCAGTGCTGCCAAGTTAAAGAGAAAATCTTGCAAGTCAAAGAGAACTCATGTACTCAGCAATTTCATACTCAAATCATTTAAGACTTCTCATTAGCAATGAGACTTTAAATGATTTGTGGAATTAAAGACTGGAATATGATATAATGAAAAGCAAAGAAACACATTTTGCATATAAAGATAATTATTCTAAGACGACAGTCGTAAATCTAAGGAGGAGAGGGTAGTGGTGGATGAGAATAGGATTTTTTTAAAGAATTAATTATTTATAAGAAGCTGAAAAGAGCACCAGTTTTGGATTCAGAAGACCTAGGTTTAAATAATAGTTTTGCCACTTATTCCTTCTGTGACCTTTGGAGAGTTGCTTTCACCTCTCAATGTCTCAGTTTCCTTGTCTGTAAAATGAGAAGTGAGGACCAAATGTCTTTTATGTTCTCTTCTGGCTCTAATCCTATGGTAATTTTGAGAAAACTAAATTTAACTCAGTCTTTGAAATGGAAACCCAAAGGAGAAAATACATTTCATAAAAGTAAAGAATTTGAATAGTTTCAATGGGCTAGGCATGATAGATAAGTGTTTATATATTTAAGAGCAGCAAATACTCAGTCTCTTAGGAGATCTATCTCATTTAAGCATCATTGAAGGAGCAAGTAGAGATAAACTCTGGACTTGTATGTTAAAAATAAACCTTAGAGAAACAGAGGGAAAATAGAGCAAACAACTAATTATAGCTTTCTTTTAAAAATTAAGTTTTATTTTATTTTCAATTGAAGATACTTCTTCTCTCCCTCCTACCTCCTTACTCTGTCCTCCCCATGGGGAAAGCAAGAAAAACAAAATACAAATATGTCTAATCAAGCAAACTATACATACATATGTATGTACAGTCAAGTCAGTGCCATTCATGTATTGGCTACATCCAGAAAAATATGTCCCAATCTGCAGTCTGAGTTAATCATCTCTCTTGGTGGTGGGTAACATGTTCCATCAGGAGTCCACTGGAAATGTGTTTGGTCATCGTGGTGTTCAGAGTTCCCAAGTCTTTCAAAGTTGTTTGCCCTTATGATATTGTTGTTACATAAATTGTTCTCCTTGTTCTGCTCACTTCACTATGTATCAGTTCATACAAGTCTTCCTGGGTTTCTCCATAGCCATCCTTCTCATCATTTCTTACTTCACAATAATATTCTATCATATTCATATGCCATAACTTGTTCAGTCATTCTTCAATGGATGGGCACTTCTTCAGTTTCAATTTCTTTACCACCACAAAAATAACTTCAATTCACATATATTTTTTCATATATGTATCCTTTTTCTCTTTTTTGAATCTTTCTTTTGGGTATAGATTTAGTTAATGGTATTGCTGGGTTAAAAGGCATAAACAGTTTAATAGCTTTTGGGGCATGAACTAACATATCTTCAAATCAGGGTGTCACAGGTAAAGGCCAGTGAAATAAAGAATTTAGGAAATCAGGACAGAGCATAAGAACCACTTTTATAAAGGAGGTAAAAAATGTATCTAAGAGGAGAATAAAACAAGCCGGTGTACTGGGCTGAATTAGAGAGGTGCATGAGAAGTCACTTAGTCCAAGGGGGTTAAAGCAAAAGAAGTCACAGTTACTGATAGGTGAGTAAAGAAAAAAAAAAAAGACGGGGTATATGATGAAAACAAGATCCAGTGATTTCGGTCTGGATTGGGAAGGAAAGAGAAGACAGATGTCTGGGATCAGATTGTTTCTAGCAAAACAACTTGCAGATGCTTTACTTTTGTAGTCAATCAACAAGCATTTATTGTGCACCTGCTTTGTGCCAGGAACTATGCTAAGCTAATCACAGCTTCATACCAATTGTACTCAAAATAACTACATTAAATATTTTGAAAAATGATCCTAGGATATAAATATAAATAATGGAACAATACTTACTCTCAAGCAGCTAAACATTCATTTGGGATAGACAATAGTGCATATCATTATGTGTAAGGCAGTAGTAAAAATTATCTTTAAGATAACATTAAGAGAAGCGTGCAAGGATTATAAGGTCATCAATTGATTTAGAGCTGTAAGGGACCTCAAAGGCCATTATGTCTTATTCTTTTATAGATGAGGAAGATGAGTCTCAAGGAGGTTAAATGACTTGTACAGATAGAGCTAGAAGTAGGACCTGTGAGAACACAGGTACTCTTACTCCAGAGTTGATTTTCCTTTAGAAACTACATAAGGAGGCAGAGCCAAGATTGTACAGTAGTAGGAAACAATGCACTGAGCCCCCCCTCCAAGAAACTCATCCAAAGAGATCTAGAAAATGCACAAGACTGAATCCTGATGGGAAAGTCTAGAAAAAGTTACAATGAGTCATTTGTCTAGTCTAGCTCAGCATAGAGAGACAGACAGAGAGGCCTAAAGACACTGAGGATGGGGTCAGGCCAGGAGTCCTTTTTATGGAGTGTTCCAGTGCCCAAGGGAAGAGGAGGCTTCAGACTCATTCCAGGGCACCACCAGAACCATACTGGGACACTACAACAGGGAAAAGTACAAATTGGCAGTTCTGTTGCCCATTACCTAGTTCCAAGTCACAAATCTAGGGAAGACTGAGAAGGGGATTTATGCATGGGTTTGGTATTCCTGGGTGATGTACTAAGAAGGGAGGAAGTTAAGAAACCAGAAGAAGCATTGGTCTGGCAAAGACTCCAGCTACTAAGAAGAGTTTCATTTCCAGTACCTAGCTCAGCCTTCAGAGGAATAACCAGAGCAGGAATCCCAGACCAAAGGGAATCTACGGTTCTGCCACTCTGAACCAGCAAAGCTTCCGAGCTGACTGAGAGTAGTTGAGTCCAATAGCATTCTGCTCTTGTTCTGACCCTAACCCAGGTCAGAAATTTGCATATCTTACACCAGGGGAATAGCAATCAGATTTTGCCCTGGATCAGACCACTTTGGGAGCAATGAAAGCTTGCAGGTCCCTAGCCCTGAGATCCTGAAACAACACAACACTCAATATTCCAAGAAAACAGCACAGGACTAACCTAGACTTTGCTTCCAGAGGTGCCTCAAAGCTTACCCCTAACTTCAAGTCTGAAGTCAGGAGAAAAGCTGGAAGACTGAGGGAAAAAAGAATCCCACCATATAAAGTTATTGAGTGGCAAGGATACTCAAGTCACAAACACAAAAGAAGAGAATGACTCCAAAACATCCATAAGAAAAGTAGTGGTGTGTCTCAGACCCCAAACTCAGAGCAAAGTCTCATTTCTAATCTCTAGGTTAGCCCAGAAAAATAACCAATGTAGGAAACCCAGACCAAAGGGAAGCCTACAGTTCTGTCACTTTGAACTGATAGAGCTTTTCAGCTGGATTGATAGAGGCAGAGTATAGCAGAACTCTGTCTAAGCTGTGGTCAGGAACTTTTCAGAGCTCAGACCGGGAAGTCAGCAGTCAGACTTTATTTTAGACCAGACCCTTTTCAGAGTACTGAAAGCTTACAGATCCCAGCCTGTCCTTGAGATCACGGAAAAACACAACCTTCAGTTCTTCAAGAAAACAGCAACAGGACCAGCCCAAACCTTCCCTCTACAAGTTCTTCAGAACCCAGCCCTAATATCAAGTCCAAAGTCAGGAAGAAGGCTGGAAGAATGAGCAAACAAAAAAGAACCCCACAATAATAAGATATTATCATAGCAGGGATGTTCTAGATATGAAACCAGAAGAAGAGAATGGCTCTAAAACATCTACAAGCAAAATGTCAGAGAAAAACACAGCTTGGGTAGAAATTCAACTTCAGTTCCTGGATTAGATGAAACAAGAGTTTTAAAGAGTTAAAATGTTTTTACAAATGAAATGAGGGTGTTTGAGATAAAAATTATAAATGGAAGAGTACTATGGAAGAAAGAATTGGAAAGGGAATTAACAGCCTGGCACAAAAGGTAACAATTTGCTCGAGTAACAAATTCCCTGCAAATTAGAATGGACCAAATAGAATCTACTGACTTTATGAGGAAACAAGATATATTAAAACAAAGTCAAAATATCAAAAATATAGAAGAAAATGTGTTATCTCATAGCAAAAATGACTGACCTGGAAAACAGATCAAGGAGAAAAAATTTTAAGAATCATTGGACTATCTGAATGTCACGGAGAGAAAAACTCAGACATTATATTTCTTTTTTTCCAAGTAATTTATTTATTTTTAGTTTTCAACATTCACTTTTTGAGTTCTAAATTTTCCCCCTCTCGTCTTTCACTCCCTTATCCCCAAGACAGGCTGCTATCTGATATAAGCTATACGTGTACAATAATATTACACATATTTCCATATTAGTCATGTTGTGAAAGAAGAATCAGAACAAAAGAGGAAAACCATGACAAAGAAAAAAAAAGAGAAAATAGTATGCTTTGCTCTGCATTCAGACTCCATAGTTCTTTCTCTGGATGTGGATACATCTTTTTCCCACTTATGTTACCACTAGTATACTGCCAGTAATGGAAATGTTAGGTGAAGTAAGCTAGACAAGACTAGTGTAGCATATGGGGTCTCCAGAATAGCTATCACAGGTTCAACGTGTTCTGTGCATACGCATCTACCAATTATGATAGCATGCAAATCCCCACTGGTGTATTTATTTTTTTTTTATTCATAGTACACAATTAGTTTAAAGCAGAAACAGTAATGAAATAGCATAAAAAGAAAAATGAAACATTTCTCTCCTAAATGTTGGGCAGATTCTTCTTAGAAAAAGCACACTGTCAGTGGGAAGAAATAGTGTCTTATGTGCATATAGGTCATGCATGGGATCACACACACATATATAGGGCACTCATATCTCCTAGACTGATGTATTCTGGTGATGTAATCATACCTGCTTCTCTAAGCTTGTACCTATGCTTCACACTAGTCGTTGTGTCACACACATTCATTGTGTTTGCTGCTACCTGCTGGTATTTCCTACTGATTGTCATGCCTTTGCTATTTTCTGACTTAACATCCTTGTTTTTTTTTTACTCTCTGTTGGGCACCTCACTATGATGGTTTGTTAGCTTAACTAAAGTGCCACCTACTCCTCCATAAAGCCTTTCTGGATACCACCAGCGGCTACTCACTTCTGCTTGGAGTTATCTTGTATTTACTTTGTATAGAAAACCAACAATGTTATGTGTGTCTACATAGTACTTCCCTTGATAGAATGCAATCTTTCTGAGGGCAGATATTGTTTCATTTTATCTTTGTATCCCCAGTACATAGTATATACTTGATAAATAAATACCTATTAATTGGTTGTTCTTTATCCACTTAGCCTACATTCCTGCCTTAATTATGTATATCCATCAGTGACAAAAACTGGTAGCTTTGTTTTTTTGGTATTTTGGCAGTGAAAAATCTCATAATCTCCCTAAACTAGCAACTCCTAGATTCACTTAGAAGGCCTGATTCCATAATCCTCAATTTTAAAAGACACATACTGTTCATCCTTATCTCCTGCAGATACCTCTAAGGAATAAGATAAATCACTTCCTTAATGAGTTTTTCCTAGCTCCCTCCCTCTACCTAAAGTATCATGCATAAAACAGTGTCAGGCTATGTCAGAAGCATATTGCTCATGGTTTTTCATCCAGCCGTACTGTGAAATGTAAAACTCTTTTAAGATCAATTGGAGACTTGTCTCAGTCCTAGGGCCAGTGTTCTGAGTGTCACATGCATATATAATATGAGAACATGAATCGTTTTCCAGAGTGTAGGAAGTAAGGTGTGGGGCTAGCTATGCTTACTGGGCTGCTAACATAACGCTATTAACTTATATTGAGCTTATAGTTCACTATGATGCCCAGATCTTTTTCAGAACAGCTTCTTTCTAACCATGCCTCTCTCATCTCAAACTTGTAAATTTTGTTTTCTTTACCCAGATGCAAGACTTTATATTTATTTCTATTCAATTTAATCTTATTAGATGCTGTAACTTGTCGAGATGTTGTGAGATGATCCTTTGTGTTGGTTATCCCTCCCCACTTGTGCAAATTTGATAAATATGCCATCTATGCCTTTATCCAAGTCATTGATAAAAATATTAAATAGCACAGGACTAAGTAACAGAACCGTGGGGTACTTCACTGGAGAGTGGATTAACAATTGCTCTTTGAGTTCATCCAACCCGTTCTGAAACTGCATGATTTTATTGCTGGCTAATCCATAGTTCTTCAACTTCTTCACAAGAATTATGTGAGATAAATAACCTATTTTAGAAAAAGAAATTGAACAAGGCATCAATGAGCTCCTTAAGAAAAAATCCCCAGGACCATATGGATTCACAAATAACTTCTACCAAACATTTTAAGAACAATTAATTCTCATGTTATATAAACTATTTGGAAAAATGGGCAAAGAGTCCTACTTAATTCCTTTTATGACACAAATATGGTGCTGATACCTAAATCAGGAAAAGCAGAACAGAGAAAGAAAACTATAGACCAATTTCCCTAATAAATATTGATGCAAAAATTTAAATAAAATACTAGCAAAGAGATTACAGCAATATATCACAAAGATCATATGCTATGAGCAGGTAAGATTTATACCAGGCATACAGGGTTCATTCAATATTGGGAAAAGTATCAGCATAATTGACCATATCAATAACAAAACCAACAGAAATCATATAATAGATTTAGAAAAAGATTCCTATTAAAAACTCCAGAAAGTACAGGAATAAATGGAGCTTTCCTTAAAATAAATGATAAGTAGTATTTATCTAAAACCAATAGCAAGTATTATCTGTAATGGGAATAATCTAGAAGCCATCTTACTAACATTGGGGTGAAGCAAGGATGCCTGTTATCACCACTGTTATTCAATATTATACTATAAATTCTAGCTATAGCAATAAGAGAAGAAAAAGAAGTGGAAGGAATTAGAATAGGCAATGAGGAAACAAAACTATCACTCTTTGCATATAATATGATGCTATACTTGGAGAATCCTAGAGAATCAACTAAAAAACTAGATAAAGTAATTGGCAACTTTAGCAAAGTCACAGGACATAAAATAAACCTACATAGATCATCAGCATTTCTATGTGTTACCAACAAAGTCAAGCAGGAAGAGATGAAAGAGAAATTTCATTTAAAATAACTGTAGGGGGCAGCTAGGTGGTGCAGTGGATAAAGCACCAGCCCTGGAGTCAGGAGGACCTGAGTTCAGATCTGACCTCAGACAATAACACTCACTAGCTGTGTGACTCTGGGCAAGTCACTTAACCCTAGTTGCCTCACCAAAAATAAATAAATAAAATAAATAAAAATTAAAAAAAATAACTGTAGGCAATATAAAATGCTTGGGAGACATACACCATGTATTCTTATTTCCTACAGATACCTCTAAGGGATGTCACTTCCTTCATGTCATGAGTTTTTCCCAGCTCCCTCTCTTGACCTAAAGTATCATACATAATATGGTACCAGGATGTGTTAGAAGCATGCTGCTAGTATTTTTCCATCAAGCCTCAAAAACTATTGAGAGCTATTCCAGTGGCTGTTGTTGTGAAGTAAAACATTTCTACTGTTGAAAACAAAAAAATGATGCCAAGAACCAAGAGGGTATTGTTGCAGAACAGCCTGTTCATCAGAAAAGAAAGACCTTCAGAGCAAGTAGATAACTGGAGCAATTGTCATTGATTCCTCTATAGTATGGCATAAACTTCTTGAAGATCAATGAACAGTGAAAAAGTCAGTTAAATAAAACAGCTACTTACGATTTCTGTGAAGGAAAAAATACTTGTCATGGTTAAGATAATAAATAGTGTACTGAAGGCTAAAAAAAGTGTTTAGTAACTGATTATTGATCTTGAAAAAGGTAATTTTTACTGATTCAGACTCACTTTTTCATTCAAAGCTATATGCCAAAATAGTTGTCAAAGACTTTCTGGTGAGTCTGTTACATCTGGGCATCATTATAGGCTGTAAAATATTTACCCAGAAATTTTTATGATATTTTTTACTTCTTATGGGCCTGACAGGCCTTCCATTGAAGGAAGTGATGAACTTTAATAAATACATTGATATGCTAGGAAGCAGAATTGTTCTGTGGTTACAGAAATTCCAAAATGGATGTGGGATATTGCATTACAGCCTTGTACCAAGCCACCTGTCAGGAACATATAGAAATGTACCCAAGAGATGAAGGTAAACATGCTGCAGTGTCTTGGGAATTCACTTGATTTTAATGCTATTAAAAGCTTAAAAGCTTTGAGGAAAGCTGTTCCTCAAAGGTATGTTTAATATCTGGTGTGATATAAGTGTAGTTTCATGTGATTTCATGATGAAGAATTAAAGATGTTTCAAAATCTTGGGAATTCAATGCTAAATCATGTGCAAGTGATTATAACAAAAGGAGAACATTAGAGATTTTTTGTTTATTTTTTAAAAATTCAATTTTATTTTATTTTTGCCTCTAATTTCCTACCTTTACCCCCTCCCACACCTGTCCATAAAACCATTACACATATGAAGTCATGGTTCAAAATAATTTTAAAGGAAATAGTATGAAATTTAGTATAATACTATCATTTAATTATATTTATTTAGTTCTTTTAACACAAATTAATTGATTTCTATTTATTTAAACCATCCTACGTATTCATTAATAAAGAGGTTTACTTAAAATTCTTTTTAGCCACCTAGAAAAGGAATTTATATACCTTAATTAGCTTAAGGATATTTGATTATTTTACACTTCTCCTTGTCTTTCTGAAATGCCATTTATCTGTGTGACTGAATTATTTCAATGATTATTTTACAGGTGGATTATAATGTGTCAGTGCTCACAAAAAGTGACCCAACTTTGGTGTTTTTCTTTCTATTATGTTTTGCCATAGCTACCATCTCCTTCAGCTTTATGATTAGTGTGTTCTTCAGTAAAGGTGAGTTAAAGGAATTTTATCTGGGAATTGCTTAATTTTTCACACAGATTTAGCAGGAGTGGGTTTTTTTTTTAAGCCTTCCTATTGAGCATCACTGCCACCCTACAACTTTCAAAAGTTCTCATGGAGAACAGAGATTCTTAGGGATTATTCGGAGTCAATTATTTATTCTCATGAGTTACTGTTTTAATTTATTTGAGGAATTAGAGGAAAATAATTTAAAAATCTTTTTGCAGGACCCTTTGAAAATTAATAGTACGGTGCTTTTTGGGTCATATTTCCATGTGGCATCCCTTTTTAGCTTCCTTCCAACTCATAATGACAGACTGGGTTCCATGAAAGACTATTACCCAGGTATAATCACTGTGGATTCTCATTCCCAAAAACATATCTCACAAGCTCCCACAAATGCACCAAGCTTGAATAGTCAGGCAGATGACACACACTAAGCTCAAAAGCAAAGTCATTCACTGAAATTCTTTGCAAGAACTGTAGCTACGAAGCCTGCATCCCACAACTTCCTGAGAAAAAAAATAAGCAATAAAATCTGGAACCTATTCTCCTAAAAACACGTGGTGTCTCTGGGAGTTGAAGACACCCACAGGAAACACATAGCCCAGATACCTCAGTCCTCTGGTATCATAGGGCTCCAGGTTTTTCTCTTCTTGTGTCATAATGCTGCTTGTCCTGGATACAATATCAAGTTTCTCATCTGCTGCTAAATGTTCCTCAACTCATTTATCTCCTCAGTTCTGCTGCCCCGAATCACTGGGCTTGCTCCTTGCTAGGTGTGTTGACTTCTGCCTAGGTAATAGCTTCAAGACATCATATTTGATGTGTGTATGTGAGAGAGAGGGTGGAGGATGAGATGGAGAGAGAATTCTCCTATTCCCCATGAAATGAGTAATTCCTTCTCAAGAACGTGAGTTCTTTTTTTATAGTGAACTCTCTTGTTCACTGACTAGCTGCCCTTTAAGTTCATTTAAGAAATTGGCATTTCATAAAGGGATAATGAAGTATAAATATTTCTTTATATACTTTGTTCAGTCAGTCAGTCAACAAACATTTATTAAATCTATGTGCTGGGCACTGTTTAAGATCTTAACACTTTATTTTCTTTTTTAAAATTCCCCTTACATTTTATAATTCATCAATTGGGCTGAGGGAAAACAAATTCACCAAGGACTTCTTGATCAGTTCCCCAAAATTACACTCTCTCACCATTTAAATATTTGCCATCCCTGGCAAATCAGCCACAGTGGTCTTGTCCATATTCCCAATTTTGGATAGTTCTCTAGTAACTTGGAGATACTCAACGTTGACCCTTAGAGCTTCTTTTTTCAGTACATTGTACTAGAGTCTCAGCAAACTCCATGTGAGATAGTTCTTAGCTAAGCCAAAAAATAACAGACTTTTCCATCTTCCACAGCCCAGGCTTAAATTAGCTGATGGGCCTGGGATTATAGTCTCTCATATACATGGTTATGCAATTTCAAAGATTGTACATTACCCCCTTGTCTTGGTATTTGCAAAAGTTTGTCTTGACCCAAAACAATTAAAAAGAAAGTAGAGCTTCCCCACTTACAGGGAAAGTCCTATCTCAATAGAACTCTCAACAAATATGAAAGATGACTGCAAGCTACCTCCTCACCTTCATTTGAGAAACCAAATTATACTAGTTCAAAATTTCTTTGGATTCTTGCAACACATAAGGTACCTTAAATTTCTCTCATGGATCCCTGCAACACAAAAGGAGACTCTAAATGGGGGTGGACTAGCTTAACAAATTTTTAAAAACTCAGAAAAACCCAAAAGTTGGGTGGAATTCTAAAAAGAGATCAAGCAATAGAGAGCAGCTAAGATGGTAAAGTAGGAGAAAGAATACAGTCTACCTCCTCCTAATGATTATTCCACAAAGACCTACAGTGGGTACAGTGGGTCTTGATAGGAAAATCCATTTTTCTAGGCCAACTTGACATAGAGATACAGAGGTTTGCAGACACTAGGAATGGAGTCTAGCCATCAGGTCTCTATGCAGAGTCTTAAAGTGTGGGAACTGAACTGTGCCCTACCACTATGCATTAGGACAGTTCAGCACAGCAGAGCCTAACACTGTGTTGAGAGCAGGAATAGATGCCGACTGAGGACACTATTGCTCATATCCCAGATATGAGCCACAGATCCAGTGTGGGCTGAGAAGGTGCTATGCACTTATAAATGGTAGAGCAGGTTAAGGAGTTATAGTGGACTGTGACTGTACTACACAAAGAAAATGAAGTAAGCAGCATCTGTATGTGGGAGCAGAGAGTTTCTTAGATCTAGCTCCTAGCTCATTCTGTGGTCAGCATCCAAATAACCTGGCAGTGTGGTGGATGAAAGATGAAATGACTGAGGAAACAAAGGTTCAAGCTTCCAGACATATTGATTTATTAAGCTGTGCATGCCATTTGCCCAAGAAACCAGGACTTGCCACCTTCCTCAGCTTTGGCACTGGACCTCCAAATATAGGAGGAGACAGATTTTTATACATTAAAAACAATTAAATAAGGCCAATTGATTAAAAGAAAACAATTAATCAAGATACAATATTAGGTAATTTGATTTCTAATTGGAAGAAAGATTAAGGACTTTCCAAGTTGAGAGGAGGAGAATGAACAGGTGCAATTCCCTGAAATCAGAAAAAGAGGAATCCCACTCCCCTCAAGTGTCTGTAAACAATGAAAGGAAGGTGGAAACAATAACTGATTGATCAGATGAAGCTAGTTTTCAGATAAGACATATGGATTGCTGGAGATATACAATTGTGAGAAAACTCCTTGCATCTGGTCAGCGTAACTTAGGTCTTTAGTTGAAGGTATCTAAGCTGCAGGTAGATGTGGGCCAGCTTCCCAGCCATGGAAGGGCTCTGTTCAGACAGTGCCCTCACAATTCCCACAATTGAACCAAGTTTTCTCACATGAAAGAAATTGAACTAGACTCATAATTGAATAGAAAGGGAACTGAGCTAGCTCTAGAATTGAGTCATAAGGTGGAGTCAGTATGGTTCACTCAATTCTAAACACCATTTGCTTCTCCAATCCCCTCAATTCCCTCAACAGGGTAGCTGTTGCTCTATCCCTACAGAGCCTTCCAGCTAGCTGGTGATAACTGGGTCTAGTACAGGGGTAGGGAACCTGCAGTCTTGAGGCCACATGCGGCCCTCTAGGTCATTGGGTGCAGCCTTTTGACTGAGTCCAAGTTTTACAGAAAAAATCCTTTTATTAAGGGGCCACATACTGCCTTGAGGTCACAGGTTCCCCATCCCTGACTAGTAGGAGTCTGCTAGAGTTCTAGGGGCAAGCTCAGGAGCTTGCAAAATGCAGATGAGAAGGTAGTGGTCTTATCACCCTGGATCAAACTATTTTGGGTGTACTAAAAGCCCAGAAAGAAATATGATCCATTTTGTTTGGTTATGTTTTTTCAGATGACAATATCCAAAGCTTGTACCAAAACAGTCTTTAGGGGGAAAATTACATCTCAACACTTCCCATCAGCAAAAGAGAAAGAAAACAACAAATTTAAAAGCCACAACCAAGTACAAAAGTATAAAGTTTCAGTATCAAAGAAGATAAATAGAATTGCACATAAACATTTCATTAAGCTGATAAAACTAAGAGTTAGTTTTTAAAAGAAGCTAATGGATTAGGTAAATTATTTTTATCTGATTTTTTTAAAAGTGAGGAAAACAAAATTGCCACTCTAAAAAAAGAAACTACAACAAGTGAAAAAAAGAAAAATCATTAGAAAGTATTTTGCCCAATTATATAACAAAACTAATGAGTTAAGATAAATTTTATATGTATGCATATATATGTAGATGAATAGAACAAGAAATAGAGAATTTATTTTAAATTTTTAAAAATTTTTAGTTCTGAATTCTTTATCTCTCTGTAGCCCTTCCCCAACCCTTTGAGAAACTAAGAGATATGATCCTCATTATACATATGAAGTCATATAAAATATATTACCACATTAGCCATATTGCAAAAAAAAAAAAAGCAAGAAAAATAAAATGAAAAAAGTGTGCTTCAATCTGAATTCAGAGTTCATTAGTTCTCTTGTGGAGATGGAGAGCATATTCAGCATGAGGCCTTTGGAACTGTGGGTCTTTATGTTGATTGGAATAGCTAAGTCTTTCAAAGTTGATTGTTATTATCATAGTAACATATTTATAAAAGTTTACTTGAATATACCAGTTATGTGAGATAATAAGATTTTGTACTATTCCTATTCTTTATTCCCTAGTATATTCCTCCCCCCAACTTTTTTTTCCTTCAAGATCATTAAAACATGACAAAACCATTCCCAGATCCTCTTTTCTGCCTTAATTAACTCCATGTATGATTCCTAATGACATTATAGTTTTGAGGGGGCACTTTTATCATCCTCCTACTCCCATTTGGAATGAAAAGACAATATAAGAATGGCTGTAATGTATCTGGGAGTGTTCATTTTGGGGTTTCTTTTATATTTTCACTTTGCTCTCTTTTCTAATGTATCAGGGAAGTTTTCTTTCATGAATTCTTGAAATATGATATCCAGGCTCTTTTTTTTAAAAGCATGACTTTCAGTTAATGTAATGATTCTTAAATGCTCTCTCTTTGATCTGTTTTCCACATTTTCTTTTCTTTTTTTTTTTTTTAGTCCTTTGATTTTGTTTTTACTGTTTCTTGATGAAAGGAATCATTAACATTTTGTCTGGTTCATTCTAATTTTCAAGGAGTCTGTTACTTGAGTAAGGTTTTGTATCTTTTACACTAAGCAGTTAAACTTCTAAGTCTTTCCTATAGAGCTCTCACTTTTTTTTCATTACTTTCATCTAGTGTTTTCATTTCATTTTAACCTAGCAATACCACTTCTAGGTCTGTTCTCCAAATAGATTGAAGAAAGACTAAAAGGAATAGTGTGTGCAAAAATATTTTTAGCACTGCCACTGTCTTTAATATCACTAATGACTCAGATGAAGACATAACCAGTATGCATCTGAAGTTTGTAGGTGGGATAAAATTCAGGGATAGTTATCAAAACTGGAGAAGAGAATAGGAATCTGTAACTATTTTGACAAGCTAATATTATAGAACAAGATAATATGATGGTAAGATAAAGATGGATAAGAATAAATATAAAACCCTATGATAGCCTGTGCATATTATTTGTTGGAAATTATTTGACTTCTTCCTTTTGGTTTTTGTAGCTAACCTAGCAGTTGCCACAGGAGGTATTATCTATTTCTTCTCGTATCTTCCATTCTTCTACATCAGTTTTAACATCTTCCATATGACCTATTATATGAAGCTGGCCTCATACCTCCTTTCAAATGTTGCCATGGCGTTAGGAGTACTGTTCATGATCAGACTGGAAGGAAAAGGTAAGCATGGTTTTTCTCAGTTGTGGTACTCAGACACAGTGGGGATAAAGGTAGTATAAATAATTCTAGCCTTATTTTTTTCCCTCACATAGAACTGTAAGTGCCAAAGCTTTGTCTTTTTTCAGTCAGTGAAAATAAATTTTCTGCATTCAATATATTTAAATGCAACACATTTTAAAACACATTTAGAATGTAATTAGTTCAGTAAATTCTTTTTCATCTTTAATGCATTTTAGTCCATATAAATCCTCCCATTAAATAAGCGTTTAGTGAGTGGCTACCATCTCTCCCTGACTTCAAGCAGTTTATAGGTTATTTGGAGATGTGAGACTAACACTTATGAAACAATTAGGACATACATAGGAGCTAAACTATGTGGTACATATTATATATTATAAGAACTATAGGAATTCAGAGATGTTAGAGAGAAATATCAACTGGAATATTTTTTGACTTTGTTGAGAAGATTGACCTGAATTGGGCCTTAATTTGTAAGATTCGTCTAGGAACAGAGAGGGCATTTGAAGGTATAGAAGACATGTGTGAAATCATGGAAGTGGAAAAGAGAATGTACCTAAAAAGTGAGTAGATTAGGTTAATTTGAGTGCAAGGTGCATTCTGGAGATTAATGAGAAATAAGTGGATAAATAAGGTCATCCTAGATTATGGAGGACCTTTTAAATTAATCTGAAAAATTTGCATTTGATTCAGGAAGCAATTGTGAACATTGTAGGTTTTTGAAGAAAGGAGTGTCTTGATGTAAATGATCTTAAAAGGTAAATAATCTAGAGGTGGTACAGAGTCTAGATTAGGGGGGAAAGTCAGAGAAATTAGTTTAGAAAATTGTCTTGGAAATCCAGACATGAGGTAATGAGTAGCTGGACCAAAATAGTGCTGTTAGGAATCAAGAGGAATACATTATTTATTAGAAAGTATATTCCCCAAGCCCCTCCAAATACCTGTAAAAAATAACTCTAAACAAATTCTAGAGCAGCAGAACCCACAAAAAGACAGAATGAAACAAATTCCCAGCCCAAGATAACCTAGATGGTTGATTGAAAAGGTCTGTTGTGCCATGCTGGGAGAGGAGCACAGTTCAGCATGGGCCACACAGGCAAAGACCAGGCCTCAGCAAACCTGGAGCAGGCCTCAGGGGACTGAATCAAGGAGAGCTATGGTGGTTTCCAGACTTCTCAACTCACAAACATCAAAGACAGCTTAGAAGGTCAGTAGGAAAGGTCTGTTGAATTACAGTGAGAGAGGAGCTCAATACGGCCCCAGTCCCAGTGAAGCCCTAGGAGGTGGCTGCTTCTGGAACTCTCGACCTACAGATGGAGGGGGAATCAAGCGGCTGATCAGAGAGGGATTTCAGGGATCTCTTTGCTGATGGTGGTGCAGGATTCTCTTACTTTGCCTGTGCTTGGATCTGAATCACAATCCTGGGTAGAGGTCCTGGGGCGAGGAGGAGCATTTGCGTGGTAGAGCTTGTGGCGGCAGTGTAGAAAGAATCCCTCTCACAGTTCCAAGGCAGAAAAGAGTGCTTATGGTCACTCATAGACCAGAACACAGGCCAGGAAAGGAGTAAACACCTCATCCTTGATCGTATCACCTTGGAAGAATGAAAATTTATAGATCCCTGAAAGTATCTCTGAAAACAGCTGCACAAAACCCCTGAAATTGGGACTCCAATTTCCACACTGGAAACGGACCCCTACCTTAACAAACAGTTATAACTCAAGTAATTGGCTGAGAACATGAGCAAATAGTGCAAAAAAGTCAGACCATAGAATCATACTTTGGGGACAAAGAAGATCAAAACATACAACCAGAAGAAGACACCAAAGTCAAAGCTCCTATATCCAAAGCCTCCAAGAAAAATATGAATAGGTCCCAGGCCATGGAAGGGCTCAAAAAGGATTTTGAGAAACAAGTAAGAGAGGTAAAGGAAAAACTGGGAAGAGAAATGAGAGTGATGCAAGAAAATAATGAAAAACAAGTCAGCTTACTAAAGGAGACCCCCCAAAAAAACTGAAAAAAATAACATCTTAAAAAATAGCCTAACCCAAATGGCAAAAGAGGTGCAAAAAGCCAGTGAGGAGAAGAATGCCTTAAAAAGCAGAATTGGCCAAATGGAAAAGGAAGTCCAAAAGCTCACTGAAGAAAATAATTCCTTAAAAATTAGAATGGAGCAAATGGAAGCTAATGACTTTATGAGAAATCAAGAAACTATAAAACAAAACCAAAAGAACAAAAAAAATAGAAGACAGTGTGAAACATCTCATTGGAAAAACAACTGACCTGGAAAATAGATCCAGGAGAGATAATTTAAAAATTATTTGGACTACCTGAAAGCCATGATCAGAAACAGAATTTAGACATCGTATTTCAAGAAATTATTAAGGAAAACTGCCCTGATATTCTAGAACCAGAGAGTAAAAAGAATTGAAAGAATCCACCCCCTTAAAGAGATCCCCAGAGGATAACTCCTAGGAATATTGTAGCTAAATTCCAGAGTTCCCAGGTCAAGGAGAAAATATTGTAAGCAGCCAGTAAGAAACAATTCAAGTATTGTGAAAAACCAATCAGGATAACACAGGATTTAGCATCTTCTATGTTAAGGGACTGGAGGGCTTGAAATATAATATTTTGGAGGTCAAAAGAGATAGCATTACAACCAAGAATCACTCAAGATATGCAATGGCTTAGGCAATGGAAGCACCTGCCAGGTTGGACATGGTGCCTAAGCCACACCACCACCAGCCCCTCCTGCTGAGACCCATCACAGCTGCCAGTGCCCCCGACCCACCATAACTACGTGACCACAAGGCCATACTAGAAAATGCGGACGTGTTGGAGGAGATGCAGCAGGCTTCTGTGGAGTGTGCTACCCAGGCCCTGGAGAAGTACAACATAGAGAAGGACATAACAGCCTATATCAAGAAGGAGTTTGACAAGAAGTACAACCCCACCTGGCACTGCATCATGGGGAGGAACTTCAGCAGCTACATGAAGCACGAGACAAAGCACTTCATTTACTTCTACCTGGGCCAGGTCGCTATCCTCCTCTTCAAGTCTGGTTAGAGCATGGCCTCTGTCTTCTGCCCCAAAAGCCATCCAGATCACAAGGACTGCAGCCTAAATTCCAAATACCAGAGACTGAACTATCTTCAGCGTTGCCATGGGAACACCTCCAGCTTTAAGCCTTTATTGTGTTGTTGTTGTACAGGGCATCGTGTGTATTAGTTTGTTATGGTTATAAAACAATTAGCAAAACACCAAAAAAAAAAAAAAAAGAAGAAGAAGAAAGAAAAAAGAATCACCTACCCAGGAAAACTGAGCATAATCCTTCAGGGGAAAAAATGGAAATTCAATGAAATAGAGGACTCTCAAGCATTCTTTATTCAGACCAGAGCTGAATAGAAAATTTGACTTTCAAATACAAGACTCAAGAGAAACATGAAAAGGTAAACAGGAAAGAGAAATCATAAGGGAGTTATTGAAATTGAACTGTTTACATTCCTACATGGAAAAATGATATTTGTAACCATGAGACCTTTCTGTGTATTAGGGTAGTTGGAGGGAATATATATATATATATATGTATATATATATATATATATACATATATATGTATATATATATACATATATATATATATATATACACACACACATATGTATATATATATATATATATGTATATAGACAGAGGGCACAGGTTGAGTTGAATATGAAGGGATGATATCTAAAAAATAAAATTAAAGGGTGAGAGAGGATTGTACTGGGAGAAGAAGAAAGGGAGAGGTAGAATAGAATAAATTATGCCCCATAAAAGGGGGAAGAAAAAGCTTTTACTGTGGAGGGAAAGAGGAGGGGAGGTAAGAGAGAATGAATGAATCTTACTCTCATCAGATTTGGCTTAAGGAAGGAATAACATACACACTCAATTGGATATGGAAAGGTGTCTTACCCTACAGGAAAATAGGGGGGAAAGGGAGGGGGGATGATTTGGGGAGAGGGTAATCAGAAGCAAACACTTTAGAGGAGGGACAGGGTCAAAGGAGAGAATAGAATAAATGGGGGTGGGATAGGATGAAGGGAAACACAGTTTTTCACAACATGACTGTTAAGGAAGTGTTCTGCATGACCACATATGTATAACCTGTATCAAGTTGCTTGCCTTCTCAACGAGGGTGGGAGGGTGGGCAAGGAGGAAGGGAGAGAAATTGGAACCCAAAGTTTTAAAAACAAGTGTTAAAAGTTGTTTTTATATGCAACTGGGAAATAAGACATACAGGCAATGGGGTATAGAAATCTATCCTCCCCTGCAGAAAAATAGAAGGGAAAAAGGATAAGGGAAGGGGGGAGTGATAGAAGGGAGGGCAGATCAGGGGAAGGGGTATTCAGAATACATGCCATCTTGGGGTGGGGGGAGGAGAGAGATGGGGAGAAAATTTGGAACTCAAAATCTTGTGGAAGTGAATATTGGAAATGAAAAATAAATTAATTATTTAAAAAGTTTTTTATTGATTTCTTCCCTTTGGCTTTGCAGCCAATGTAAAAATTGCCATAGCTAGATGGTACAAATGGGTAAGAGTGCTGGATCTGGAGTCAGAAAAACCTGAGTTCATATCCTCCCTCAATGCTTGGTAGCTGCTTGATGCTGGACAAGTCACTTAATCTCTCACAGATTCAGTTTCCTTCACTGTAAAATGGAAATTATTATAGCACCTTTCTCATAGGGCTGTGAGGATGAAATGAAACATTTACAGCACTTTGTAGAACCTTAAGACACTATATAAATACAACAAAGTTCTGATATTTTTAATTTTTTTCTTTTTATTATTAACCTGAGAATCATGAACAAACTTTTGAATATTTCCATGTACAAAGAACAAAAAAGAAGACTGAATGCCAACACATGTATGGTTTACTTAAGTATATATTCAATTTAGTGCAGAAATAACAAGATTGCCTTGTTTATGTCCCTTCTCAGCTTTTTTCTTTTTTATCAGAGTTGTGGGTTGTTGTTTTTTTTAATTTTTTGGGGCAGCTAGGTGAATCAGTGGATAGAGCACTGGCCCTGGAGTCAGGAGGACCTGAATTCAAATCTGGCCTCAGACACATAACACTCACTAGCTGTGTGACCCTGGGCAAGTCATTTAACCCCAATTTCCCTCACCCCCCAAAAATTTAGTATGTTATTTTCCCCAATTACATGTAAAAACAATTTTTAACATTTGTTTTTAAAACTTTGAGTTCCAAATTCTCTCCTTTCCTCCCTCCCCACCCACACCCCCCATTGAGAAGGCAAGCAATTTGATATAGGTTATACATGTGTAGTCATGCAAAACATTTCTATCATAGTCATATTGTGAAAGAAAACATAGACAAAAAAAATCTCAAGAAAAATTTAAAAAGTGTGCTTCAATATTAGCTAGCATTTATGTAGCACTTTTAAGTTTTGCAAAGTGTTTTACATATTTATCTCACTCAATTCTCTCTATTAACATAATTATATAATTTTTGGTTTTTTGTTATTACTATAGTCTATTGTGTTTAGTTTTTTTTTAATATTGAAATAACCTTGGGTTCCTTGTATAAATCCAAACTAGTCAGAGTATATGATCTTGTAGATAAGTTGCCATGAAATCTTTTCCAACATTTTATTTAACACTTTTCATCAATATTAATTAGGGATATTGTTCTATGGTCTTCTTTTTCTCTTTTTTTTAACTTTCTTTCCTTAGATATCAAGATCATATATGTATTATAGAACAAGTTTGGTAGGATTCCTTCTTTTCCTATTTTTACAAACACTTACTATATGATTTTGGAATTCATTGTTCTTTATTTGATAAAATGTAAATCTGTATTGGTCAGATTTATTTTTTTTTCCTTTTGGGAATTAGTGTGATTGCATTTTAAAGATTCTCCCCTGTTCAAGAATGCTTGAAAATAATCACTAAACATTTATTTAGTGTATAATACATGCTATTCTATTTAAGGCACATTTTCCCTCCATGGCTGAAGGGCATGGTTTTGAAGTATGGAAGTCAGGAACAGGGCTGTGGATGTAATAAAGGGCAGTCTGGTCCCCTTCCCAAATTGTCGGCACCAGGAGGAACTTACCAATGAGTGAAGGGGGTGGACCTCACAGAGAGTACCTTTCAAGAGCACTTTTAGTCATTGTGATGAGGTCAGAAGCCATATTGCAAAGGGTTAAGTAGAGAGTGAAAGGAGAGGAAGTAGAGACAGTGAGCATAAAAGGGATGGGAAAGGGCTTGAGGTGATGGTACAGTCTAGTAAGGAAATTTCAATAATGGGAGAGTCTTGGCCATATTGAATGAGCTAAGGAAGGAAGCAGTAGATTGGAAGAGATTGAAGATTTGGAAAGGGAATGATTTAAGTTACAAACTGCTAGAGGAGGGAAGGAATGGGATCCAAGGACACATGTGAATGAACCAGCTGAAGGCTTAGGGAAAGGAGAGTAAGCATTGATTCCAAGAGTTTTGAGGTGAAAAGAGGAGATACCTCAGCTGGTAGTAGAGATTTTTGAGGCAGGTGACTTTTTAGGCCCTTAGTCTATGAAGTACATACCTGATGGTCAACAGCATGAGCACCATGGTACATGGAAGAGAGACCTAGGCCAGTAATGGGCACTAGAGCCATGGCCCCTGCTAATCTTAAAGTGGGACAGGAGAAGAGGAATCAGAGTTAAAGAGGAAGAAGGCCAGGGAGACAGAAGTAAAGAGTATGGAAGGGTAGCCAGCCTAGGTACCTTTGTATCCCTTGTTAGTATGACTTCAGTGACAAAAAAGCATTCTTGATCTTCCACCCCCCCAAAAATTGCAAAACACAAACCAGGTTCCATGTTTGGTTGTTATGTATTAAAACAATTCCTTTAACAGGAAACAAAGGCTTTTATTTGGTGATTAGAAAATGAAAGTTCTTCAAATTCAAGTACCTGTGACCTTTGCTCATTACTATCAGTGAATTTCAGTATAAATTCCTGTTTTGATAGGGAAAAAAGGAAGTCACTGGGACCTGACTGAAATAAGGGGAAAGGCAAAGAAGGATGTAACTAAGTAGAAATAGGAATAAAATTAGGAGGCTGCATATTGTATGTAAAAGATTGATCTGGGGGCAGCTAGATGGCACAGTGGGTAGAGCACTGGCCTTGGAGTCAGGAGGACCTGAGTTCAAATCCAGCCTCAGACACATAACACTCACTAGGTGTGTGACTCTGGGCAAGTCACTTAACCCCAATTGCCTCATAAAAAAAATATATTGATATGCCTGGTAGGACTAGAGGAATACATCTAATTTCCTTATTAGAGTGAACAAAGTGTTCCTTGAAGAAGTAAAACTGAGAGGAAAACAAAGAAGGAAAAACTCAAGATAAGCAATAACTTGTATCTGTGTCAAGAAAGGGTAGAGAAGAACATAATACAGATTAGTAAGGGAAGAACCACTGAACCATTTCAGCTATGTAATAATTTTGAAACTCTTTGAAAGAGGGTAGAATTATACTTTTTGAGGAAGAAGCGGCATCTTATACTGCACAGAATAATGATGTTGTTCTGAGAGAGGGCATCCATTGTTGGCTGCCTAAGACATGTGTAGCTTCTATGTGTTGATGACTCCTTACTTAGGGTTATAAAGGTGAACATTTATCAGCTTGGCATGAACGTGTGGGAATTATGCCATCTTCCTGAGCTGTATATCTGGAAGTCTGATATGCACCTTAGATTTTTGGAAGAGCAGTTTTCAGAATTCTAGAGCAGGAATTATTAGCCTTTTTTCATGTCACAGACCCCTTTGGCAGTCTGTTGGAGCCTATGGAGCCTCCTGCTTAGAACAATATTTTAAAATTCGTGACATAAAATACATTTGATTACAAAGGAAACAAATTATATTAAAATACAGTTATCAGAATGTTTTTAAAAGCAAGTTCATGAATCCTAGATTAAGAACCACTGGCTTAGGAAAAGGATAGGTAGAATAATAGTAGATGAAAATTCTATAGAGAAAGTTAGTCAAAGAAGGATGAGAAGCTCCCAAGAATGAAATTCTGAAGACACTAAGAAAAATAATTTTGATGAAATGGAAAGGGGAAAGTTGTCTGAAGAGACTGATGGTCAACATGGAATTAGACTGAAACACAATGTACTGAAACAATAATGTAAAATGCTTTTTCCAAAGTTACCAATTATCTTTTCATTGCCAGATTTGATGTTC